TTTTTGGTTTTTCAAGACAGGGTTTCTCTGTGGCTTTGGAGGCTGTCGTGGAACTAGCTCTTGTAGACCAGGCTGGTCTCGAACTCAGAGATCTGCCTGCCTCTGCCTCCCGAGTGCTGGGATTAAAGGCGTACGCCACCAATGCCAGGCTCAGTTTAGGTTTTCTTTAGTAATTCCAATTCTTTATTAAATTCTTCTGTCATGGCATAAATTATTTCCATTATCTCAATCAACTGTTTGTGTTTCCATAGACTTAGCTGAAGTAATTTGTAAAAAACATTGGTTTCTTTTAGAATTTACTTCAGCTATCTTTACAAATTACCTAATAAAAAGAAACACAACCAGCACCACCAAAATAACAGGAATCAACAATCATTGGTCATTGATATCTCTAAATATCAATGGTCTCAATTTCTCAATACAAAGATACAGACTAACAGAATGAATGTGAATATAGGATCCACACTTCTGCAACATCCAATAAATGCACCCTACCATCAAGAATAGACATCATCTCAGGATGAAGAATGACATTCCAAGGTTCTCTCTCCTTATCACCACATAGTAAGCAGCTCTGTTCTGCCACATGCCCCTACCATGACGTCTGCCTTAATCCAAAACGTCTAGGCTAGCAGAACTTAAGGTTGAGGGAACAGAAAGAAAAATTTTTCCTAACAGGTCACTAGCAGTAGACCTGTGGATCCTGGCTATGGGAGAAACTGTACCATATATTGGTTGCTGATTCAGAGTATATACTGCCTTCTGGAAAACCTCGCTCAGCCCTTCAGGCTGCTGCCATTTAATTGGCATTGTAACTATGTCTTTAAAAGGCCATTCCATCTTTCTGTCAAACAAGCTGCTTCACGATGTTGGGGAACATGGTAAGACCAGTGGGTTGCATGATCATAGGCCCAGTGTTGTACTTCTCCAGGTGTGAAGTGAGTTTATCAGAAGCAATACTGTGTGGAATACTATGTCTGTGGATAGGTATTCTGTAAGTCCACGGATGGGCATTTTGGCAGATGGATTATGTGCAGGGAAGTGGAATGCATATCCAGAATAACTATCTACTCCAGTAAGCATAGCCCTTTCCAAAGAAGTGGTCCACTGTAGTCCGCCTGCCACCAGGGTTCTGGCTGACCACCATGGAAAATCCGGTCATATCTACAGCCCAGTGTTGATCTCTGCTGTTGGCAGATCTGTCACTTAGCAGCAACTGCAGTCAGGTAAGCCTTGGTGAATGGCAGTCCATGATGTAGAGCCCTTAAATAATGTCACTAACGTCATGGGCTCACTAACAATGAATAGATGACTGGGGAAAAAGATGCAGGAAGGGGGAAGTATGAGGTAAGGGAGGGAATACAGGAAGGGATTACTAACACTAAGGGCCATTAGGGGTTATAAGGAAACATACTGTAGTAGAAGCTTTTTAGAATATATACATGTATATGAAAGAAACCTAAGTGGAGTCATAAAATAATGGGAGAAATAATACACTAATTTGACATCGCTCACCATCAAATGAAACCTACAGTGCCAGAAATGGGTTACATCTAATTGAGTTGTTGGCTAAAGGTGTCCCATGGAAACCTTCAAATACCTCAGATTACTGTTAAGGCTGTTGGTTGTTCTCTACAAAATGATGGTAAGCCCCTATAGCAAATGACAACACTTACACATCTAATTGAACATGAGAAAGTTGAGCTGGTATGGAAATAGAGCCTTCATCTTTACTGAGTAGTACTCATTGTTGTACTGGGAAGAACTCTGCATGCTACTAGATGAGGAAGGTAAACACCAACCCAACTCCAACCCTGGTGATCTACAACCATGACCTGCTTCATGATACCCTGGTGTAATGTGGAACAAACAATGTGGGAAAATCAAAAAATCTGATTGGATTTAAGGCCCACTCCATGAGATGGAACCTATGTATGCCTGGAACTGCTCAGCTGGCCAATGAGGAGACCTTGGAAACCTATGGAGCCTCTTGTAGTGGATCAGTACTTATTGCTACCATAGGAATGGACTTTAGGAGCCCATCACATATGGAAGGATACTCCCTGAGCCCAGACACAAGGGTGTTGGCCTAGGCCCTATCCCAAAGAATATGACAGACTTTGAAGACACCCCTATGGAAGGCCTCACCCTCCCAGGGGATCAGAAAGGGTATGGGATGGGTAGGGCGTTAGTTGGGGGGGGTGGGCAGGGGAGGAGGAGAGGGAGAGGGACCTGGGATTGACATGTAAAATAATTTTCTAAAAAAGGAAAAAAAAAAAAAAAAAAAACAACCAACCAGATACTATAGGCCACAGGCTAAGGGGAAAACCAAATGTATTGCTCTGCTGCAGGGACTTAGCAATAAAATGACTCCTAATGACATTCTGCTATACCTGTATGTATTATTAGTCATGGTTCTCCAGTGTAACAGAATGTATAGATCAGTCTTTATATATAGAAAGGGAATTTATTATAGCGACTTACAGGCTTCATGCCAGATAATCCAACAATGGCTGGCTAGGAATAGAAAGACTAAGAATCTGGTAGTTCAGTCCACAAAGCTGAACATTCCAGCTGGTCTTTTGTATCCTCTGAAATGTTTAAAAAAAAAAAAAAAAAAAAAGTAGGTTCTAAAAAGTAGGTTCTAATGTCAGTGAAGGAAAGGACTTGCTGGCAAGGTAAGGGCCAGCCAGCAGACAGAGAACAAAAGCTTCCTTCTTCCATGTCCTTATACAGGCTTGAGCAAAAGGCGTGGTCCAGATCTGAATTGAAGGCGTGTTTTTTTCCCAGCCCAAAAGATATGGATTAAAGGCCTGTCTTCCTACCTCAAAGATCCAGATTAGAAGCAGACCTTCCTATTTCATAAATTAGGCAAAAATTCTTTGGAAGTGTACCCTCCACTTTTAGGGTTTTAGATATACTTAGGTTGAAAATCTAGAATAGCCATCATACCATATAGATCAGGGCCTCCCTCAGTCATCACCAGAGAAGCTTCCTCTTGCAGTAGATGAGAACTAACACAGAGACCCACAACTGTAGAGTATGCAAAGTGTGAGATATTCTAGAACACTCAGTCCTGAGTAGGATTTTTTTCTTCAAAATAGAATCTTCTCTCACATAATTTATCCTGACCAGTTTTGCCTCCCTCAAACCCTCCCAACTTCCCCATTCCTATACTTGTCCTTCCCCAGACCACTCTCTTTTCCCTCCAGAAAACAACGACCATATGATATGGCAAAAGCTCTCAGATCGAGGCTGGACAAGGCAATCCAATATGAGGAAGAGTCCCAAGAGTATGCAAGAATCAGAAGCACATCCACTCCCCCTAGTAGGAGTCCCAAGAAACCACCAAGCTAGCAGCCATAACATAAACAAGGCAGATATGGTGCAGACCCTTACAGGCCCCACACTTGCTATGTCAGTCTCCGTGAGCCCATATGAGCCTGGCTTAGTTGATCCAGTGGCCCACGTTCTGCTGGTATCCTCCATCCCCTGACTCCTATAATCTTTCCACCCCATTACACAGGATTCCTGGAGTGTTGAGGAGAGGGATCTGATGGAGACTCCAATTTACACTCTCTCTGCATGTTGTCTGTCTCCGCACAGGTTCCCCAGGACAAGGGGACAAGGCACTGATCTATGAGTACAGAAGACAATTGTTAGTATTCATTTCCTTTTTTCTTTCTTTTTTGCCAGTCATATTTGGCTCTAGCCTAGGTCTCTAGGCTCTCCAATCTATGGTCCCTAGCCT